GAGGACCTCCAGAATGCCATACCCATGACAGCCCTGCTTGGCTCTTATAACTTCAAGGCTATTGAAGCAAAAAAATTCAGCAAAAAAATAAAAAATAAAACTCTGAACACCAGAGACTGCCAGAAACTGAGTCAGGACACGGGTTCATCTGGCCTGGAGAGGGACGGGCCCAGAGCTTTCCTGGGATTCCAGGAAAGGTTCTTTCCAAGCCCCCTGGAGATGCTACCAGAGATGAACTTTTGCAAGCTGACCTTTGGCAGCAAGGCAAGCCCTCTGCCCCAGAGATACGGCCGCTCTCTTCACCAGCCCTGTCCTTCTCACATTCCATCTTCCCCAAGTGATTCCCTGTGTTGACCTTCCTTTTCCTTGGAGGTTCCTGGATTACACGGCTCCCATGTCACTCAGCCACCAGACTCATTGGTGGGTAGACCCTCGGCTGTCCCTCACGACCCTCCTGATTGGACAGCATAAAATTGGCCTGTTTCCCCCTTCATCCTTGTGACCTCCGGTTCCAGATCTGAAGGTGAGAGAAGAATTTTCCCTGCTGGTGGAGCTCTTCTTCCTGGTTTTCCGTAAAGGAGGAAGCCTTGCTGATCGGCTGCCACCACAAGCCGGATGCCGGATGCTGATTGTCAGCCATATTGCAGATGACCTCTCGCTTCAGCCGAGCTCTGGGAAAAAATAACAAGGACGCTTTGATTTGCTTTGATTTTCTTGCCCACAGCCCAGAAGGCACAAAGGAAAAACTTGTGTGATATTTCCAAGAACAAAAGAGTAACTTAGCAACTGTGCAGTCTGGCGTGTGGGGAAGGCTAAGGTGGGGAATCCCCTTTTAAAGCCACCCACCTACCTGCCCATCTAGAAAGAAAAGAGGGGAACGGAGGAAATAAATCATCACATGGATGATTCCAAATGGAATCAGTACAGTCAAGCTAGCTTCGCTTGTGTGTATGCATACGGATACCTAGAAGAGAATCGTGGGTGTCAGAGCATATGCAGAGTTCCCTGCGAAAGGGGCAATTTGAGAGAAACCATCTTCCCCCCCCGATTACATGTTGCTAGGAAGACTGAGAGCTGCCTCATGTGTTTCTGAGAAAGTGAAGTCCGTTGAAAAGAACACAAGCAGTTCGTGGAGATGGGCAGTTCTGCACACGTGTGTGATGAGCTCCATTTCTGTATCAGTGATGTACAGCTGACCAACCTGAAAAGCATGTGAAGCAAGAATCCCCTGCATTACAGATGTGTGAGGAACCTGTACAGGAGTCGGTCTGCCGGATTCCCTGGGCTTGGCTCCGCAGACTCTGGTCCACCTTGTGCAATTGCACCCGGTGCCAAAGGTTTCCGGTTGCGCAACGAGGGGTTTTCCTTGAAGTTTGGCTTGCTCTGGAAGATCAGGCTGAGCCCAAGAGGGCGGCCAGCAATGCTTGGAGGGATGGAGTCTAACAGAGCTCCTCTCAATCCCACCGTTCGTAACACTGCTGAACTCACATGTTAGAGGGGCTAGTTGGTTCCAGCTCAGCAAAGCTAGAATTGTGCAAAAGAGCTTGAGCTATCACTCTATGGACAGCAACAAAAGGTAAGGCTGTGCGTCCTGAAGCCGAGCCATCCCCCAAGGGGCAAGGAAGCTGGCACTGCAGGGAGAGCCACTCAGCTGCATGAGAATACAAAGGATTGGTCATACTATGGGGAATACAAAGGATCTGTCATCCTGCCTATGGAATGCACTCCCCAGAGAGGTCCTCCTGGCACCGTCGTTATTTGTTTTTCAGCGCCAGGCTAAGACCTTTTTATTTCAACAATATTTTAATAACTTTTAACATTAGCTATATAGGTTTGAATCTGCAGCCAGGGTGGATCTGCATTTTATTTGTATTATGTTTTATTTTTCTTATTTATGTAAGCCGTCCTGAGGCTCTGCAAAAGGACGGCATACAAATACTCTAAATAAATAGATAAAACTTGTGGTGATTTCCAGGGGCTGCATAGCAAGACTTTGGCTGTGTTTACACAAAATAACAAGCAATCCTACAGGGTCACCATGGTTTGTAGGGGGTGTTTTTCCATGACTGGAAATCAAATGGTTTCCACTGTATCATGGTTTCCATCCTCTCCACTCAGTCCTCCTGCTGTTGGCAAGTATCCCATAACCAGCGAGTCTGAAATTAAATTCCAAGGGGCATCACCTGCTGCCTATATCTCCTGTATCTTCCACATTGGTCCACACACAAGGGCTAGATGGCTGGAGTGGCTCTTGAAGTTGCCACTCTTGCCAGAGGACTCTATGATCATTGCATTCCATGACTGTGGAAACTGCAATCCTGAATTCAGAGAACCCAGCAAGCCATAGTGGTACAGAAAAACCATAGAACAAACCATGGTTTCTTATTGTGATTTCTAAAGCCCAAAGTTACCACAGTGAAATGCCATGACTGGATTCAGACAACACCACAGAACAACAATGGTAAAAAACAATCATGGCTTGTTGTATTGTCTGAACCCAGCCTCTGGCTCTCTGCATGCCATCTCAGACGGCTCAGTATAGGGACAGGAAAGCTGTTTGAAGGATTTTCCTCTATTGTGCACTCTCACTCTCTTCCCCCTGTTTTGCCTTTATATTTTTCCTTAGAAAATTGAATTAATTCAAAACCTGGACTTAGCTAAATTTCCAAGCCACCCAAGGGAAGTGGTTGCTTCCACATTTTGCAGATCACATGGGTTATGTCATGGGCTTTGAGCGTGAGTTAAAAGGCAGAATGGCCTAGCACTTAACAGGCAGTTGCAAAAGCAGTTAGGCAGAGAGCACATTACCAATGGCCCACCCTTCAGGGACGCGTTGGGCCACGGTGCCCTCCCTCTCACAATGGCTTGCAAGCACAGGCAGTGACCAGTCGGCCATCCAAGCTGTGCAGAGGTCTTGCCTCGCACATGTTGCCCAGTGTGGGACACTTGGTTCTTGGAGGATCAGGACCATGGCCGTTGTTGTTGGCCATGTGGTGAGATGCATGAAAGAAATGGCTCTAGAGGTGCCCTTTATTCCATCTCAGATAATTTTTGCCCTGCCCTGCCCTGCCCTGCCCTGTCCTCCCTGCCGTGCTGTCCTGCCCTGCCTTCCCCCTTGCCTTGCCCTGCCCTGCCCTGCCCTGCTGCCTTGCCTTGCCTTGCCTTGCCTTGCCTTGCCTTGCCTTGCCTTGCCTTGCCCTGCCCTGCCCTGCCCTGCCTTCCCTGCTGCCCTGCCCTGCTGCCTTGCCCTGCCCTGCCCTGCCCTGTCCTGCTGCCCTGCCCTGCCCTGCCCTGCCATCCCAGCCCCGGCCCTTTGGTCCTTTTTCTCCTCAACTCAGCAGCCACCTCCAGCCCATCTTCTGGTCGCTACCCTGCCTTTGTCACCAAGCATTGTTTACCAGATTTGGTGCCTGCTCTCCAGCCATGGCAAAATCTAACCCCAGCTACAACCTGCTGCTCAACTCACTCATGCTTGGTGGTGCACGCATCTTACAAGGACCAGTGTAAAGGAATCTGCAGCCCCTGCCTGTTGCATTCACACAGCAGCGAATGCTCCAGGAGCAAAAGTCTCTGCCTTTCCCCAGGCTGGACCAGTTCCTCGAGGGGTGCCCCGGAGGGATGACCACAGCCACGCGCAGGGCAGTGCTCGGATGGCAAGCAAGGTGAAGGGAAGTCTGGCCCTTCATGACATGCCACATGGCGAGGAACTGCAGAGGGCCTCCGGGGGACACGATCTGGCAAAAAGCGGGGAGGCTATGGGGTGTGCTCACGGATTTCACCAGGAACCCACTGCCTTCCCCAGTCATGAGTCAAGCTCTGGCCCAGGCTGGCCACACTGCACAACGCCACCCAGAAACACAGGCAGAAGGACAAACACGGCGCTCCGGAACAGCAGACGGAGGCTCTCGGTCAGGAGCCATCAAACAGCCAGCGTGACCTCTCGCACGCGGCCATTTCCAAGCCCAGCGCTGAGAACGTGCAGTAAAATCTCACCCAGACGCAAAACAGGAGATGCTCGCCTCCCTGCTCCTGCTCGCCTTCCCGCCCCGCAGCCCTCCGTGCATCTCACTCCTCTTTGTTTCGTGCGTGCTTGATGCAGGACTGAATTCGCCGCTTTGCAAAGCTGCGGGCAGACACGGGGAAAGCACTCCGGGGCTCGCTGCGCGGCTGGGAGCAGCCCCACGTGCCCCCCGTGCCGCTTCGGAACCGCTCGCCATAGTCTTTGCAGCCGGCAGCCATGCATGACTGACAGAAATCCTGTTCCGGCAACCCCAGCCGCGGCGCCTCTCATCGCGGCAGGACAAATGCCGGGTGCACAGACGGAGGCGAAAAAGTCTGCGGAGTTTGTGGCGGGGGTTTGCAGGCACACGCCTGGGAGAGCTTGGCTGCTCCTGTCGCTTTAAGAATGCTCCAGCTGTTTCGTGGCCAGGCAGAGAGAAGCGGCATTTAGGAAGTAGGCAGGCAGAAAGCAGCTCAGGGCTGCAAGGAGAAGCAGCCAGACCTCGCTCTGGGAAGCCACCCAGCCGCATCCGCTCCAGAGCGCGCCCCCCACCCCGAGCGGAGCGGGGGTGCCATGGAGGTCAACTTCAGCAGACCTGAAAGGGCAACGGATCACGCCTTGGAATCCTGAAGCGCTTCGCCGCTCACGCGGACGCACACCTGCACCTGCACCCGCGCCCGGGCGCTGCCGCCCTCCTGCAAGAAGTTTGCACGGGAGAACGGAGGCGACCCACTCGCTAGACTAGATCTGGAAGTTAGGGAGAGATGAGCAGCAGTAGGGACCCGCGCGAGCCCTTCTGAGCCTGGCAACCGGGATCTATCGGGCTGGGCTGGGTGGCAGCAGCGATGTTTCCAAGCCAGGAGCGAGGCTGGAGCCAGGAGAGCGGTGTGGGATTCGTCGGCATTTGGGACTGAAGGACCGGGTGCTGACTTGTCCTCTCCGCAAGCCACTGCCAGATCGGAGGACAGGCCCGGGAATATGCCCAGGATGAAGGGGATCTTGTATCTTCTCATGCTGATCCTGACAGGTGAGTGGGCGAGAGCTCGCTTGGAGTGACTTCCCAGTGCCAGACTTATCGGCCGCCAGCGTGGCATATGGTTCGTGGATCATTAATGCCTGCCCGGCGGTGTGCTGGATTCCCGTGAGCTGTGAGCCACGGCTCCCTTTTGTACTCGCCCTGGACCTGTCCGTAGGGGCAGGGGCCGGCCCGGGAGGAGAGCGCCTGTGCTTCAGGGACAGTGGCCTGGGTCCGGGTCCCAGGTCCAGAGAGGGGAGCTTGCGAGGTGGCGAGCTTCCCCAGGAATCGGTGGATCTGACAGATCGCTCCCCACGCAGCTCCTTCTGATTGCCTGAATCACCCTCCCAATGAGCATGCATGGAAAGGTCAATTTCCCCCCCACCCCCCCACCCCCCGCCTGCATTTGCCACTCTTCAGCGGCCTGATTGTGTGGGCGAAGGGGGCTTTTGAGTGGGTGACGAGGGGGCGAACACAGAATGGAAATGCCTGTGACCCTCAAGGAAATTAAATGGGAGTCATTCTTTTCATCTGGCTTCATGTGGTCGCTAGCGACAGATAATTGCTCTTTCAAAGCAAGTGGCTGGTTTATTTCTGCTTTTCGGAGGGGTGAGTGGGTGAGCTTGCTTCACTGGACCCAAGCACTGAAAATCCTATTTGATGCGCACGCATCCCGTCCAAACCGAGGGGTCTCATAGGGGGAGCACCGCATGTGTTTACTTTCAAGGAAACCTCACTGCTTTGCTCCTGAGCGGCCTTCCAAGTTCACGCACTTTGGATCAGGGCATTTGGACTGTCCTCCGACACCCAAGTTGTCCAGGTTGCCACTGAGGACTTTGGAGTTGACAGAATGGAGAAAGGGTTCTCTCGCTCTCTGCTTCTCTCTCTCCAGCTCCCTCTTCCTCCACCACCCCCTTCAAATTGCATACAGGCTTCCACACTTGCTGGAAGTTCCAGGGAAAGAACACGATCTTGTTTCTTAATTGTGCACAATCACTTATGTCATTGACTGAAGTAACAGCTCTGGCTGCTTTGAAACCTTGGCTGTTCCTCCTCCGCTTGACTCCTTAGAATTGCCGGCATTGAACCCTCTGCTTTTCATTGCTGTGCAGAAGGGTTTTCTCATGTGGAAAAGCAGAGGCTGGTGGTGGGGAGAGAGAGGCAAGACCCCCCTCCTTATCCTGAGGGGTGGATTGCAGGAGCTAATTCCCAATCCCAGACCCAGGTTCCTTGTATGCAGACACCATGGTCTGGAGAGGAGGGGAGTGTGTGTGTGTGTTCCATGCGCAGAGAGAGGCACGGTTGTGTTTAGATGCTCGGTGATCAGTGTGGGAGTCCAACAGCAGTGCTGAAAAGAATGAACACCCTGGTATAAGCTGTTGCAAGTTTAACTCAGCTTTGTCAAAATATTATTTCCGAGATGTGGCAGGCAGTGTGCCTTCCCCCACATGGCACCTCCTTCCGAAGGATCGTCCCTGCGCCTGGTGTGTTTTGTGGGAAGGGTTTGGGGTGAGGTGGCCCTGCAGTTCCACCCGGGGGATGAGGCTGCCTCTGCGAAGGAGCCATGAGTGGGCAAGGAGCGGGGGTTGGCTGCAGATTCCGTGTGGTTCCGGTTTTGATAGGAGCTTGCCAAAAGCCACCCCGTACTTCATAACTGGGGTGGGGGAACATGCAGTTTGAAAAACCGAAGAGGGGAGAAAACGAAACGGAGCGACTGGTCCATCGAGGCAGAGGTCTTTCCATGCTTGGCTCTTCAAAAAGCCTGCACTGCTTCAGCCCCCCGAGCATCCGGCTGCATTCCTAGTTCTGAGCTGGGGCTGCAACCTTGTTTTTCTGAACAGCTGCATGATAGGAAACTCAACGGGATCCCTCTGTCCCGGGAACAGCAGTGCCGGTCTTAATTTTTGGCCTGTGCAGATGGGTGAAAATTTCACTCCAGTTTGGCTTTTTAGAAGAACTTCTTAAGGATGGCTCATTTCTTCATGAATGGGATGGGAAGTACTTGAGACTTTGGAAGAATCAAGCATGGGAAGAGGCAAAACTGATGCGGTCGTCTGTCCTTCCCGGTGGGCTGCTGGACCAACCAGAGGGCAAAGCTGAAGGAAAGGTCATGATGGTCTAGAGACGGACGGGTTTTCTCCAGGACACCCAAAACTCTGCTGCTGTGCTGGCCGTGTTTGCATCCTGCCTTTCTCCCATGGGGTACTCAGGGCAGCCTGCTCACAGCAAGCTGGGCAAAAGATGGCAACTGCCCTAAGGTCACTGAGTGGCTTCCTGGAGAACCAGGCTCTGGACTTGACTCTTCCCTGGTCCAAGAGCTTCTGCCCACGCTCAGTTTCACACTGGAGATTCCACACATGAATCCAGGAGCGTGTAATTCTGGTGATCAGGGGCACTGAGCCAATCTGTCCCATCCTGGGGCTCTTTCCCAGCTGTGCTGGACTCCATCTCCCACCTGTGGCTGGCTGGGGCTGATGGGAACACTGTGCTAAACCAACCCATGCGACTCTGAAAACTGCCGGCAAGTCGTTCTACATCGCACAACAGCTGTGGGAAGGAGGACTCTGTGGTTCCCAGCGCGCAGGGACCAGCCTGTGGAAGGTGTGGAAGGGCAGTCTTCCACAGCCTCGTGCGCACTTGGTAGAGGCATGAATCGTGCCCACTTCCTATGGATTCCTGAGGATGTACTGAGGGGTGTGGAGGTTTAGGGCAAAGCAAAGATTACCTTAAATCCATATCTGGCAGCAATGGCTCTCTTTTTTACTCTGGAGTAGACACAGGGTCTTCTAGCATAAATACTGGCTGCCCTGGACCACCAGGGGGAAATGGTGGCTCTGAAAAGCCCAACTTGGGCTGGGGAAAACGTGTGGAAAGGGGGCTCAGTTCTTTCTTTTTGCCCCATACATCAGGGTAGGCAGCCGGTAGCCTCCAGGTGCTTCCCATAAGTTGTCACTGCCGTGATTCAGTGTCAGCGATTCTGGGAGCTGCAGTCTGGAGGGACCCCGGTGGTCTGCCATGGCCCTGTTGGACTGGGAACCATTCCGTCCCATCCTGCAGGCATCTGGGAGGGTCGCAGCCCAGTGGCAGAGCTCCCGCTTTGCTGTCGAGTCCTTGCATCCCGGAAGAACATCAGAAAAGTCCTGCTGGATCAGACCAATGGTCCATCCGGCCCGTTCTGTTCACAGTGGTCAACCCTGGGAAACCCACAAGCAGTAGAGCAGTGCAATGACATGCCCCTGCACATGTTCCCCAGCACCTGGTGTCCCTGCCGCCTGTGGAACTGGAGCACCACAGAACGAGTCGCCAGTGATAGCCTTCTTCTCCAAGCATTTCTCCAGCCATCTTGGTGGCCTGCACCACATCCTGTGGTGAGATCCATACATTAACTCGGCACTGTTTCATAAAATCATCGGAGAGTAGTGCTGGAAGTGGCCAGAGGGCCATCAGGTCCAGCCCCCTGCTCAGTGTAGGACTCCAAGCTAAAGCATCCTTCTCGGATACCTCCAGGGTGGGAGAACCCTCCACCTGCCTGGGTCATCCGTTCTTTCTGATGTCCGGCTGGAATCTGGCTTCCTGTAGCTTAAGCCCATTATTATTCTGTGTCTTGTGGAAGAAGGAAGCATAGAGAAGTCTTCCCTTGATCTGTCCTGAATCTCCCACCGATTACCTTCATGGGATGACCACACTTAATTCTGGAATTATGAACATGGGAGGGATCTCCGTCGCCACCTTCTCCACACCATGGCAGCATTTTGTACACCTTGCTTACTTCCGCCCTTCCTCACCATTTTTCTAAGCTAAACCATCTCAGCTTCTTCTCATGGAGGAGAAGCTCCAGCCCCTTAATCATTTTAAGGAGCAATCCTTCACATGTTTAGACAGGAAAAGGCTTGCTGCTCCCAGCATGTCCTGGCCCAGCTGTCCAAACACAGATAAAATTGCAACTTTGGTCACCTTTTCTGCACTTATTTTAATTGTCCTTTGCAAATATTAGGAGGGCGAGTACCCGGAGGAGGGCTTTCTCTGCGGTGGCGCCCCATCTATGGAATGCGCTCCCAGAGAGGTCCGCCTGGTGCCGTCCTTATTTGTTTTTTGGCACCAGGTGAAGACCTTTTTATTCAAATGTCATTTTAATTGCTAAATTATTGAATTAATTAGGATTTTAAAATTTTTAGCCAAGAATGCACTGGGGGGTTTTAAATGTTTTTTTTTCTTTTAAATTGTTATATTATTATTATTTATGTATGCTTTGATGTATTCTTTGTGAGCCGCCCCGAGGCTTTGTTGCAATGGGGAAGGCATAGAAATGTTTTAAATTAATAAATAAATAAATTCTCCAAGCAGAACTGGGAAAAATTCCTGTCTGGATTCGTGGAGAATCACTGCTGCTGGGGAGCCAGACAGATCGAGGATCTGACTTGGTCCACATCGGGGCAGGTAGCCTTTTGTGTCCCTGGGCACATTAAGTAATTGGAGAAACTGTCTTGGGCACTAGCACAAAATGGCTGCCATGGGAGGCATGGCAGAGGGCAAGTCAAGTACCCAAAAGACTGAGTTCACGGCAGAAGTGAACCTCAAAACACTTCTTCGAACCCACAGTTCTTGACCCAACAAAACCTTTTCCACAACAATTCCAGCTGCCTCTAAGAACATGTTAATTATTTTTATATTGGGGGAGGGGGTGCCAAGAAAGGGGCCCAGCGGCATAGAAATGTTCTAATAATAATAATAAAAAAAAATTCTGCCCGGCCCTGGTCTGTCAGTTTCCTGCATGGCACGAAGCCTAGCTTGTCTTGCACACGACTGTCGCTGGGGATTGACGTCCACCAGCCTGGCCACCCCTTCTGCTCACAGCACTCTTATGGCACCCCTGTTTGTCGATGTACTTATTTATTAACTTTATAGACCACAGCCTGAAGCCCTCATGAGGGTGGGGTACATTCCATCAAAATCAACAATAAAGTAAAAGAGTCCATAAAATTAAGCAAAGTTACAATGAGGACAGGTATAGC